GGATGGGATGGGATGGGATATGGGATGGGATGCGGTGCGATGGGATGGGATAGGATGGCATGGAATGGGATGGATGCATGGATGGATGCATAGATAGATAGATAGTTAGATTTTTTGGGGTATTTTCCTTTCAACCAAGCGGTCACCACCTGAGTAACGACACTGAATTCCCCGGGCAACGCCGGGTATCCCGCTAGTACCTATATATATATATAGAGAGAGAGACAGATAGATAAATAGAGTTTTTTTCTCGCACGTAATTCAGCTATATACGTAGTTGAGAATTTAATTAGGAGATGCGCTGGAATCCGCATCAATTATTCATCACGAGGCAGCAGCATGCCCCGCTCCCTCGTGGCGTCTACATATATATATATAGGGGCCTATAGATAGATAGCTAGATAGAGAGGAGATGATTAAGTTTAATCAAGAGAAGTAAGTTTAGAAGGCTGGAGTTTTTTTCTCGCACGTAATTCAGCTATATACGTAGTTGAGAATTTAATTAGGAGATGCGCTGGAATCCGCATCAATTATTCATCACGAGGCAGCAGCATGCCTTGCTCCCTCGTGGCGTCTACATATATATATATATATACCTGCACATAGCGGCTAACATCTTGGTATTACGCTAAACCTGCGTACGACGCATAGAAATATATAGAGACGCTATATTAAGTATCGAACTAGCATATTATTTCTATGGTACGACCCCTGGCTTACACCACTCACACACGCGCCCCCTATCGTACCCCTCCCTTACCTTTGACCACGTCCCTCAACCTATCCCTCTCTTTTGTTCGATCATATTCTCTAGCATATTCCTCTCTTACGCGCGACCACGCCATAGAGGCGATACAGAAGAAGCCAGAACTGATCAAATACGACATAAGTAAACAGACAAAGAAAGAAAGAAAGAAAGAAACAAACAAAGAAACAGAGATACACGCACGCACACACGCACGCCCATGCGCACACACATATAATATATACATAAGACATGTAGATAAAAGCGAGTAGGGATGCTCGTTTTGTCCACAAAAATAGGTATTTATTGTCGATTCGTACAACATTACAGCAAAACGCTTCGTACACCCATGAACAGCGAACAGTAGAGTCAGTATCACAACAAATCCACAGTACTTTCCGCAGTACTCCAAAATATAACATGTATATATCGTTAGGCAGTATTTACAAAAAAAAAGAAAAATCGTTTCTAGACTGGCGCACGCGCCGCTCTAAAATCCTTTCCCGACAAACGACGTCGTCTGCGCACACAGATGGTTCCACTGGGTTAAAAAGATGTGTAGACGCGAGCGCCGTCTAGCGGTGGTGAACCATCGATGTGAAACCAGGGCGGCGAGCGTCGATAGAACCTGACCGGAAGTGATAATAATAACGTTCGCAACTTCCGTCCGCCATCTTGGGTGCTATTCCGCACAGCCAGTCTAGAGTTTACCTCTCTCGTGCGTGTGTCCAGTGCGCAGGTGTGCATGCACCACGGAAGAACACACTGTACGTGGGTTCTACTAGGGGAGAGCATTCAACCTCTCTCCTTCTCCTTTTCCTCCTCCTCCTCTTCTTCCTCCTCCTCCTCCTCATCTTCCTCTTCCTTCTCACGCGCGCTTCGCAATTAATCAGCTATTAAACTCTTGAGCGAATTGCGAGCGCCGGATGACTCATTATGCACGCACGCACACACGCACGCACGCGCACACACACACACACAGGTGCCGTCTTCGCGGCAGCAGCACACCTCGGCTGATTCCTCCGTACCTGCATCTACTACCTCCGTCGTATAACTAACATACCGAGTTATTAATTAATTAAATAATTAAATAATTAATTAAATAATTAATTAATTAATTAAATAATTAATTACTTGCCTGCTTATGAGCCGGAATCATTTGCTTTGCTCATACCGCACGAACTAAAATCCGCTTGCAAGAAACGACTATCACTCAAAATACCGCCGGAATTTTAATAATACGGAGCTGTCTGCTCAGCAATAATTCTCTCAACTGTAATCGTGATAGTATTTCGATGTCAAAGAGTACGGTAGGAAATTAGGATTCGTAATCTCGCATCGGTAATGCGGTCGTCTTCCGGCGGATCACAAACATACGCGCGTAGTCATATATATCAACAACACACGTGATACAGCCGAGGTAATGACGGAGAGAGGCGGAATCGGCCGAGGTTTGCCGAACAAGGCAGGTGGCGGCCATGTTTGCGTGACGCGTCTGCTCTCATCACCGGTCACGCGGACACGCCCTCCATACATGGCCGCAATATAAACGCAAACATGGCCGCCGCGCAAACATGGCCGCGAAATTAACGCAAACATGGCCGCCATATAAACGCAAACATGGCCGCGATATCAACGCAAACATGGCCGCTGCAACGCGCGCGCCGACGACCTAGCAGCGACCTTCCACATAGGTGGCGTGACACGACAGGTGTGTCCGCACAGACTCCGTGGCAGTACGCCGCGTAGTGGTTAGTTAGAGAGAGAGAAGCGTTAACGCGATACCACGTTCTGCGATTACACAAGCAGCACAACAATCTTACACGGGCGAAAGCAACTTAAAATAATGATAAGTTGAGCATTTGTGTGCCGCGTGTCTACGTTACGCACGCACGCACGCACGCACGCACGCACGCACGCACGCACGCACGCACGCACAGCGGCCGCAGCATGGTTCGGAGACGGAAGCCTATAGTATTGAGGAGGCGTGTTTAACATATTTAAATATCGATAGATAAACCAAGGTAGCTTGTGAGCACACAACACCTCTGACACAAAGAACCGGCGTCTGCAGCACAGCCCGACTACACATCACCTACACGAAGCCATCGTAGGTCAAGGTCGTCTCGGGGTGAGGTGAAGGTCAAGTGTCACGTGGTTACGTCGCTGCCGCACAGCACCGTTGCGAGTAAAGCGCCGCGGTACACA